ACTGAGTCAGGAGCCAAACAGAAGAGATGAACATAAAAAGGCTAAAACCACCAGGTGCCCCATTCAGGGGAAAAAAAGAAAAAAGAGCAGAAAGATAAAGGTATGTAGCTCTCATGATGCATGTTTTCAATTTTTTGAACCAGTTAACTGGGATTTTAACGGTTAAATGCGGTCAACTAATTGCTAACAGAGCTAATAGGGCTGAAATATTTAAACGAATATTCAAATGGTTTGAAAAAAGTCCTTGAATCGTTTTTTACTGATTCAAACTAGGATTTGTTAAATGCTCGCTGCAGCCTGTGGCCTGCCTGAACAACAACACACACATGTTGATCATGTTCACATAATAATAAATAAAACAACTACAAGCAGAAGAAAACTCCCCAGTCACCACTAACTATCCTGTTTATTTATTGCAGATGGCTGCACTGATTATTTTACATGATTTGTTCTGTAAAAGTTGGCATTTTTGGTAGTCTACAGTTTTTTATGTCAGTTTAAATTACAATTTCAGAGGCAATTGTAAAATATTATGGATCATGAGATCTATTGGAGATCTACCCCAACCTTTGGACTGCTCTGCCAGTCACTGTGGCTCAAGCTGAGAGGAGCTTTTCAAAACTTGATCAAGTCATACCTGAGGTCATCTATGTTTCAGGGGCGGCTCACTAACCTGGCTCTGATTAGTATCAATCACTCAGTAGGGGAGCAGATTTCATGTGATGACATTATTGATGACTTTGCATCAAAGTTAGGTTTTAATTTTAGTTTGTGTTTTCTATTCTAAGTGCAATGCTGTAGTGATTATCTTTAGTTTGTTACGTGTGAAATATTTTTGCTATTTAGAATATTTATTATCTATTATGTTCATATGTTCTTAATATTTAGTTATTGTTTGTTTTTGTATATTTGATTCTATATATTTTGATACAGTATATAATGTATATTGCTTTACATTCTGACAACTTCATAGTAATTAATGTAAATATGTGCAACTTAGAAAAATGAATGTTCAATAGTCGTTCTAATAAAACATGCCTGTTTGTAGAAAACATGCGTGTGTTCATGCAGGTGGGGTGGTGTGGTGGTGGTGGTGGTGGTGGTGGTGGGGGGGGGGGGGGGTTGGGGGGGGGGGGCGCTCAAAGGGGGCCTCGCCCGGGGAGTAATTCGATGTAGAACCGCCACTGAGTGCAACAGACACTTGCAATGTGGGCAGCAGTAGCTCAGGAGGTAGAGAGGGTTGTCCAGCATTTGGAGGGTTGTAGGATTGATCCCAGCTCCCGGCAGAGAATTCTGCTTTGTACACCTAGGCAAGACACCTAATCCACCTTGCCTACTGGTTGGTGATGGTCAGAGGGACTGGTTGCGCCTCTGCTCAGATCAACTATGCCTCTGGCAGTGTGCCCCAGGGCAGCTGTGGCCAAATGTAGCTTATCACCACCAGTGTGTAAATGTGTGTGTGCGCGCATGGATATAAAGTGCTTTGGAGTCCTCTGACTCTGAAATGGGCTAAACAAAAGCGGGTCATTTATCATCATATTGGGCATTTAACAGGAAGGAAAAGTTAGAGACGCATTCAAATCTACCAATTTGTTACGCCACCTTTAAAACAAACCCTGATAAACTCTGATAAAAACATGGCGCCAGCTGAGTCGACACTGAAAGATACATTTAAAAAATGGCAGCAAAAATGACCGCTAAATGCCAAGATAACAGTATTTATTGCACTGGATGACTGTGGTTGCAGATGTTGTGTTTTGCGGTCTCCACAAGTCGTGGTATGAGCTGCTTTGTTGACCCAACTTTACAGACGCAGCTGTACTGGTGTTTTGTAGAAAAGAGTGAGCATGCTGCTGGCGTCACATGCCATATCTGCCCTGTCGCAGGAATGCGAATCCCTCAAAACAGCTGCAAACCTATTTGAAATACAAGCTACAAGGCCACTGTTAAATATATCATTAGTGTATGAACACGTTTCTTATCAATGGGCTTCCTGAACAGGTGATGTTTTCTGGCAGATAAACTAAGAAAATAACAAATACAGAAAGAAAGAAATGTGGAGAAAATAAATAAATGTGTTCAGTATTATTTTAATGCGTTGTTGAAGTAATGGTATCGATCAATACTCAAAATCAAGTGACTCGGATCGAGAGCAAAAATATGTGATTGGAACTAGGGCTGAAACGATTCCTCGAGTACCTCAAATTAGGGCTGCTCAATTAATCGAATTTTAATCGCGATTACGATCTGAGTTTTGAACGATTATAAAAAACAAAACAAGCCGATTATTTGCTCCTCCCGCTTGCGCTGCCCTGAGTTGCAAATGAAGCGCTCCTCCCACAGTGTTGCCAACTTAGCGACTTTGACGCTATTTCTAGCAGCTTTTCAGACCCCCTTCTTGACTTTTTAACTTAAAAGTACCTAGCGAACACCTTAGAAACATCTCTGGTAACCCTTAGCTACTTTCTGGATAACTGTCGTCGACATTTCCTGCAGGTTAGATAAACACTCCGCCTGCGCTCCGGACCGTTCTTCAGGACATTAGGAAATGGAATGCCGTAGTGATGTGTCGGTCGCTAAAGACAGCTCTCGGAGCCGGCTCCTTGTTGGAGTAACCAGAGTGAGTGACACACACACCGTACCTGCGGACTCCCGAGCCACTAAAAACGGCTAAATGTGCACGTGCGGCGTGCTAAACACACGTGCAGCTTTCCCCTGATTGCTGTGAGACCGGGTTGGGGGGTGGGGGTGCAGCTGTGTTTGGGACAATTATTACATTAACTGATGGACGACTTGTAAATAAATAGTTTATAAATAAGGTAGAAATAAGTTCCTCACGCTGATAAATAATAACTAATCTCTCTGAGGACACGGTGCTAGTGCACTCTCCTACAGCACCTTGACACAACTCAATAAATGTTATGAAGCATTTTGTGAACATCAATTTATTTGCATGTATTTGTTATAAATGCCACTGTATAATTCTTGATGTCAGTATTTGCAAGATATTGGTATTTGGGTCTGTACTGGTTAGACTTAAATGAGTTAAACCAAGGTCTATAGCCCTTGGGTCATAAACTATGAGCTGTAAGTATATTGGTCTTTTTATACTGGGAATCAGAAGTTATTTTAGTGATCATCTTGTTTCTTATTTATTTTTGTCCTGATTGTGCCCTGAGCAATTTTATGACTGAATAAAAACAAATAAAATCAACATAAATTGAAAAATCGTCCTAAATAATCGTGATCTCATTTTCAGTCACCATAATCGTGATTATTATTTTTGCCATAATCGAGCAGCCCTACCTCAAATAATTCGAGTACAAAAAATCCTCGAGTCAAATTCTGTGCCTCGAGGCTTCGTTTAGTTCATGTTTAATTAATTTAGGGCTTTGCAATTGCCCGGGGTCATGTTTCACCCGGACCGAATTAAGTGACGCACATACACACTGCACTGAATGCACACGCGAGTAGCGAACGCAACTTAACTTTCTTTTAAGCCATGGCGGACAACGTGGACCCCGGTGGAGTGCGAAAAAGACACAGAATGTCAAAGGTGTGGGACCATTTTTCACGTCGTAAGGCGGAAAACGTACTCCAGTGTAAATACTGTAAAATGGATTTAGCCTACCACAACACCACATTCCTCAATGCTGCAACCTGACCAGGAAACATCCACATGTAAATGTCACTTCTGCAAGCGGACTCGGAGCCTCTACAAGATAATGCATTTTAGCCTGTATTTCTATATATTCTGCGGACACTGTGCGACTTTTTCATTTGTAGCACTCAGTTTCAGCTCACACCGTACATCTGGTAGCAACACGTCGGTCTTAAAATTTGCTAAAAATAGCAGTTTTTACAACACGTCTGACTTTTTACTGTGTTGCTATGATGTCTGTTGTCCCTCAGGATTGCTGCAGGAGGACACGGGTGTTTATGAGTGGCGAAGGAAAACAAAAGAAAGTAAATAAATGTTTTATGATCAGTATAATTTGACATAACCACGGAAAACATGCTTTCGACAATCCTTGTTAGTGTGAGACAAAAAAAGTGTAGAAATTAAAACGAACGTGTGTTAATAGGGAAACAGCTGGCGAGCCATGTTTGCGCATGCGCCGTTAGCGGTTCTGGTGCTGTTTGGGCCGCAACCGCTCGCATTTGTTTACTGTGAAGTAAAGTTGAAGTGCTGAAGTTTTGAAAACTAATTTTGAATAAAACTTGAAGAATTACTGGCAATTGCTTTCTCATTTCAAGAGGTCTTTCATATTTTATAACATGCTATTTGATATAAGGGTTTAAAAACGCAAAAGGGTAATTTATTAGAGTACTCGATTAATCGATAAAAGATTCGATAGAGTACTCGATTACAAAAATATTCGACAGCTGCAGCCCTAATTGGAGCATCCTTATTAGACACACCACTTAACATTTACTTGTCACATCACTCCTGGCGAGCTGAGGGATGTAACACCTTGTCAGCATCTGTATTAATTAAACGTTAGTCGCAGTAATGCTAACCACAGAATGTGTTGAATTATTGCACTCCCTTTTAGCAGTGGTGCCCCCAGAAAAGTTTCATAGGGGGTGGCCATGGGGCCGGAGAAGATTTTGGGTTGGCTAAATTGATCCTCGTGGTAACTCTGGGAAAGTTTAGCCTGTAGTATTGCAATAAATGCTCCTTTATTCATGTTCGTAACAAAACATAAATTCATTTATTGTGTAAACTATAATATGACTTATTAAAGAACACTGGGTCCCTGGGTGTGGCCAGCAATTTTGTAGGGGTGGCCATGGCCACCCCTGGCCACTCCTTGGGGGCGCCACTGTCTTCTAGGTTTTTGATGTTGTCAGATTCATAGCAGTAGTTTGCAAAACAGGTCACGTGTTCTGACATTTAGTTTGTATGTTAAAAAGCTTTCGGTAAGTTGTAAACAAAGTGCTCTTGTTGTTGGGAGGAGTACGTGTAAGTCATTATAACATTGGTGATTTTCTTTAAGGGCTTACGCTGCTAACAAGGAGTCACATGCCACATTGGTGTTCCACAACCTCTTGGGGGAAATAGACCAGCAGTATAGCCGCTTCCTGCAGGAGAACAATGTCCTCTATCAGCACAACCTGCGCAGGATCAAACAGCACCTGCAGAGCAAATATCTGGAGAAGCCGATGGACATTGCCCGGATTGTTGCTCGTTGTTTGTGGGAGGAGCAAAGGCTGCTGCAGACAGCCACCACTGTTTCACAGGTACATAAAATATAACCAATCTAACAATAGATCTTTGTTTTTGACACAAAGCTTTTGAATGTAAATGTTTTGTTGATTGTGTTATAGAACGGCCAGGCGGCCCATCCCACTGGAACAATAGTGACAGAGAAGCAGCAAGTTTTGGAGCACAACCTTCAAGACATCAGGAAGCGGGTGCAGGTCAGTTAAATAAAGGACTTAATCTGATAACGCTTCTCTAAAACGGCTTAACGCTACCGAACCACATCGTAATGGTTTTGTTCAGACAGAAGTATAAGAACATTATCGTCTGTTCTTAACAGGACATGGAACAGAAGATGAAGATGCTTGAAAACTTGCAAGATGATTTTGACTTTAATTACAAAACCCTGAAAAGCCAAGGCGGTATGTTTTAATGATCACTTTTCCAGACTTATTGGGGATGTGTATTGATACAGATGCAGGTAAGCCTTTAGCTGATCCACGGTATGTTCATCCTGTCTCCAGAGCTGTCCCAAGACCTAAACGGAAATAGCCAGGCAGCTGCCACTCGACAGAAGATGGTTCAGCTGGAGCAGATGCTGACAGCCTTAGACCAGCTCAGGAGGGTGGGTGTCTGATAAACATGGTTAGAAGCCAGATGGAAAGACATTTGCAAACTTGAAACAAAGCGAACACACCTCTATTTGTTGGTTTAATAGGCCAAAGGGCAGTTTTCTAATGCTTCAGCGTTAGTTGTGGCTGGACTGCTGTTGGTGATTTCTGTTTTGTTTACTTTGTGTTGTGTTAATAGCAAATCGTGACAGATGTGGGAGGCCTGCTGACTGCCATGGATTATGTACAGAAGAATCTAACTGATGAGGAACTTGCAGAATGGAAACGAAGGCAGCAAATCGCCTGCATTGGAGGCCCACCAAACATCTGCCTCGATCGTCTCGAAACATGGTAACTAGGGGTGGGGGAGGAGGCGGTCTAGTTTTTACTCTACATGAAACACAAATGGTTCTGAATTAGTTAAATAATTTTCAAAATCCAAGACCATGGTCTCGAGTCAGAAAAGGGTAGAATGCCTTCTCCAGATCAGGGACGAGGTCTTGCCCCAAGTGTAGGAGTTTAAGTATCTCGGGGTCTTGTTCACCAGTGAGGGAAAGATGGAAAGTGAGATCGACAGGCAGATTGGTGCTGCTTCTGCAGCGATGCGGGCGTTGTACCGGCCTGTCGTGGTGAAGAGAGAGCTGAGCTGGCAGGCAAAGCTACACTTTGCAGACGTTACGCGATGCTTTGGCTAAATGTAGAACATAGCTGTAACTATGCATGTATTACGTGAAGTAACAAGTGATTGAGGCTCCTTCCTTGACTTGAGGTTCATGTCTGCCTGTGAATAATTTCACTTCCTCTGGTACAGATGTTTCTATTCCATCCCTATTAGTCTATCTGTAGTTTATTTTTTAGCATTTGTTATTTTCTTATTTTATCAGATCCAAGTCAGATCTTGGATTTTTTTAAAATAATTTTCTGAAACCTGGCAATTTTTCACAATAAAACAAAGTCTAGAAAGATTTTTGTATGAAATCTGATTTACGTTTAGCGAAGGATTATTATTATTTTTTAACAAAAGATTTTCTTGTTTTAATAAGAAGTTATTAGAAATAAATTCCTTTTGGGTCATTCAAATATAAAGATGTATTGATAATATTTGTGTTATCCATCACAACTGTCTCAGTCATAATTGAATTGAATCATGAGGATCCTAAAGATTCCCACCGCTGGATTTGAAAACGGGAAAGACAAATTTCAGTCGCCAGATTTCATCACTGAAGTTTTATTGAAACGACAAAAACCTTAAAAACTTCACAAAATCACATAAACAGGAAGTCAGAAATGTTCCCGTCTACATATAAACTTGTGTGGCCTTTGCTGGTCCGTAAAAGAATTTATTGGGGAGACAATGTAAGACAAGCAGCCATGCAGCTGACAGCTATGATCACATTAGTTTCTGTAAGTAACTCAGTATTCATGTATTTTACTGTGGAGGGAAGCTTGAGTATCCAGGGAAAACCGTCCATGCCAAGGTAGAACAAGACCTCTGCATCAAGGTCCACACCCGACAGACACGTCTGCTTCTCTGGGCTTCGGCGCTAACGCCACCCTCCTGAAAGAAGACTTGATGAACATGAAGAACATAAAACCGTTACATCTCTGAGTCGGTGTGAATGAATAGGGTCATTAGAGGAAGTGGAAAATGCAGGTAAAATTATAACCTTCAGATTGTCAAGAATCCAGTTGTCTTTGAACTTTTGGTGATCGTTCTTCATCTCTATTGACCTCAGTAAAAAGAGCTATTCTGTAATCATTTTACAACACCCTTAATTTAATGTTCTGATCAGGATCACATCCTTAGCCGAGTCCCAGCTCCAGATTCGTCAACAGATCAAGAAGCTGGAGGAGCTTCAGCAGAAGGTGTCCTACAAAGGAGACCCCATCATTCAGCACCGGCCCGCCCTGGAGGAGAAGATTGTGGATCTGTTCAGGAACCTCATGAAGAGGTACTAGAGACTGTCGATGGGCTTTCCTACACAGAGGATGAGTCAAAGTTCAGCTTCCACCTACATACCAGATGTCTTCAGACAACTGCTGTTTGCTCCATTGTTTCTCTGTAGCTGTTAAAATCCAATCCTTGTTTATTGTAGTGCCTTTGTGGTTGAAAGGCAGCCGTGTATGCCCATGCACCCAGACAGACCCCTGGTCATTAAAACAGGGGTGCAGTTCACAACTAAGGTCAGGTAAGAGCCAGGTCCAAATCAGAGAAACGTGCATATTTCTACACGTGTCTTAAGTTTTTGATAAAGCACGTGGTTAAAAATTGCAACATTTTGTCACTTTATTTTCCTCATTTGTTCTTGTGTTTATTCTCAAGGCTACTGGTGAAGTTTCCTGAACTCAATTACCAGCTCAAAATTAAAGTCTGCATTGACAAGTAAGCAGTTTTTTAGTTTGGTTTTAAATCTGCTTTGGGAAAAAAATGACTGCTTCACATACTTTTCTGTTCACTTTTCAGAGAATCTGGTGACGTGGCTGCAATTAGAGGGTAAGAGTACAAGCGGGCTTTCTGAACGAGAGTGTTTGATGCTAGAGAAGGGTCTTACTTCCTGCTAGAGAAGGGTCTTACTTCCTGCTAGAGAAGGGTCTTACTTCCTGATGCGTCTGTTTACCAGATCACGAAAGTTTAACATCCTTGGTACCAACACAAAAGTCATGAACATGGAGGAATCCAACAATGGCAGCCTTTCTGCTGAGTTCAAACACTTGGTGAGCTACAGGAACAATGTGTTACTGAGTAAAGTGACGAAGCGATTGATAAAGGCATTCTCTGAAGCACCGACTTCCTGTTTGTTTCAGACCTTGCGGGAACAGAGATGTGGTAACGGTGGCCGGACTAATAGCGATGTAAGTCTTATCTTACATTTAGGTGGAAAGTATGATGTGACGCGTTCTTAAGAAAGCCTCTTGACCGTAGAGATTTGATTTTGAGTGATAAATGATATTCTGGAACTATATATTTAGACATTTGAATGGATCTGTTTCCTACAGGCTTCTCTCATTGTAACAGAGGAACTCCATCTTATCACCTTTGAGACAGAAGTCTACCACCAAGGCCTGAAGATCGATCTGGAGGTGAGAATCTCTGGCTTACCTCCAGAATTCTGACTATAAAGTCACCAAGTCATCATGTCTTCTGAAGTTAAAGCAGATATTGATGCAGGTGCAAAACAAGTCACAGACATGGAGTCATCTTTAAAGTTGTCTTCCACCATTGTCTTGAGGTGTTTCCTCAGATAACCATCTTCCATCAACCTAGTTTCTGACCTCATAGACTGAAAAGTTAGAAAAAACTCATGTTTCTTGTGGCTGAGCTGCTTGTTTACAGACTCTAAAATCTCTAAAGGAGAAATCTGTCAAATGTGTGTTGTTATTATTTTGGGGGTTTCTTCAACCTTCATGTATGACAGGTTCCTTAGAGAGCTGCAGCAACCTGGCGTGCAGCGGTTAACATTACCTGCTAGTAGAGTCAGAGTAGGGTTGATGAGCTGATGCATTTAAACAGAAATTAGTGTTGAGTTTTGAATAAATAAAGCAAAGTCTGATGAAACGAAAATGTTAAAGTGAAGCTGTCCTCCTCAGACTCATTCCCTGCCTGTGGTGGTGATTTCAAACATCTGCCAGATGCCCAATGCCTGGGCTTCCATCCTGTGGTACAACATGCTCACCAATCACCCAAAGGTAAGACGGCACCCTCTAGTGGACAGGGTCTGAACTCTGCAGGTTTAACTTCTTTTTTGACATTGCTCACCTGGGAAGTTTTTACATGTTTCCTCTTTTTTCAATTCTTTTGTACAGAATGTGAATTTCTTCACCAAGCCTCCCGTGGGAACCTGGGACCAGGTGGCTGAGGTGTTGAGCTGGCAGTTCTCCTCAACCACCAAGAGAGGCCTGACCATCGAGCAGCTCACCACACTGGCTGAGAAATTACTTGGTAAAATGACGTGCATGAAACTACTTTTACTTTTACGTTTTTCCACCAAAATCCTAAAATAATTTAGTTTTGCTGTTTCTTTAGGACCTTGTGTAAACTACTCCGGATGCCAGATAACATGGGCCAAGTTCTGTAAGGTAACTTTACCACAAACAGTTCAGTCTGCCCTCCTGGCGTTGTTGTCTTTGAGCTGTTTTTCTTGTTTCCTTCTTACAGGAAAACATGGCTGGCAAAGGCTTCTCCTTCTGGGTGTGGCTGGACAACATCATTGACCTGGTGAAGAAGTACATCCTTGCTCTGTGGAATGAAGGGTGAGAGGTTGTTCCTTGTCTAGAACTGCTTGGTCACTTCCAGTGATCCTGGGAAAAGGGCTTTGGGATAATGTGATGCTTCAAGTTTTTTTTTTTAAATTCAGCAGGTGTGAATTTGACCCGTGTGTGTCTGCTAACAGGTACATCATGGGTTTTATCAGCAAGGAGAGAGAGAGGGCCATTCTGAGTCCTAAACCTCCTGGCACTTTCCTGCTGCGCTTCAGCGAGAGCAGCAAGGAGGGGGGCATCACGTTCACCTGGGTCGAGAAAGACATCGGCGGTGAGCTGATCAGGAACTACGACCTTTTCGGGATTGGCTCTTCTGTTGTTGAACTTTTATGTGTTTACAGGGAAGACTCAGATCCAGTCCGTGGAGCCATACACCAAGCAGCAGCTCAGCAACATGTCTTTCGCTGACATCATCATGGGCTACAAGATTATGGATGCCACCAATATTCTGGTTTCGCCTCTCGTTTATCTCTATCCCGAGATTCCCAAAGAGGAGGCTTTTGGGAAATACTGCAGGCCCGAAGCGGCTCATGAACCTGAGGCAGGAGGAGACTCAACGAGCAGTAAGTCGCTATCTGGAAGGCTTTTTGTGCTCATTGGTAACTAATTACAACAATAATGTGTACAAACATTTTCTTTCAATGGCAGCTATCCAGCCATACCTAAAGACAAAGTTCATCTGTGTCACCCCGTGAGTATTCTCCTTTTATTCTTTTTTTTTATGCAGTACAAGCTACCAAGTGACCTCCTCTTAAGTTACGCCCTCCCTTTTTAAATGTGTACAAAGTTCATTTGTTAAACTTTATGTATTGCATTGTACAAAAACACAGGCCTGTGTCACAGCAGGGATCTTGAGTTACAGGAGTAGAAAAATCCCAGGTGGATTAACAAGGGCTGCATCCCACTACAGCTGCTTAGGAGCGGGGCTTAAAAATGGGATGCAGCCTTTGGCCTAGTCCACACTTAGCCGGGTTTTTAAAAAATGAATATCCGCCCCTCCAAAAACTTGCATCCACACCACCTCGTTTAAAAAAAAACTCTGTCCACACGTACCCGGATAAATACGTTGTTAAGGACATGCCAGACCTGTAGGCGGCAGCACTTCCCCCGTTCTTAACCTCGTCCTTCGTCTGTGGTCTTCCGCAAGGAGCAGTAATTCCGCTTGCAAAAACAAACAAGCAACAAGCGCTTGGACAATTGATAAAGCCAGCGCAGCTCTGAGGGCATCCATGCTGTCGGCTAGTGTAAACACAGGTCGCACACGTGATGTCAGCATTTTTTGTCGCGGAAAGTGACGTTGCGGACCTTAAAACTCCGGTTTTGTCTGTCCACACGCAGACACCCAAAACAGAGAAAACACAGATCTTCACTCTGGCCGGAGTTTTTAAAAAGATCCGTTTTCGTGTGGATGACAGGCCAAAACGTAGAAAAATATCTACGTTTTGGCAGATCCCCGGCTACGTTTGGACAGGGCCTTTGTTATCTACTTTTAAAAGTCAAAATGTGTGCTCTGGAAAAATTCTTTACAGCAAAGTTTTAAAATTGCAAATTGGCTCAGTCCTTTGCAGAGCCATCATGTTGAGCTCAGAGTCTTCAGATTTTGAGTTCACAGAGCAGAAGGGGAGAGGAATAAAGTAGAGACTGGAGTCAGCTAAGACCAGGAGACTCTATAAACAAGACATCAGCCATGTTTTCTGTGGTTATTTGTGGGTCTGATGGCGTGCTTGTGAGGTTTTCTCAGTGAGATCCTGACCTGTCTCCGTAGGTGTCCCTCCGTGTTCATGGACTTGCCAGACAGTGAGCCGCTTGGGAGCGGATTCCTTGGGTAGGCCCCTTTGGGGTGGGGGGTTGGTGTCATGTAGGGCCGTGTGTGCATTCTGTCACTTGTATGTTTTTTTAGACCTCACGGTGCATTTACTGCATCTACATCACCTTAGTTTTCTGTGTCCAGTTCACAGCCACTGCTCCCATTTCTAATTCAAAAGCACATTCCAGTCATCCATCAGGTTTCTGTTTATGCTCCTGCTGCCCACATGTTTTGTCATCATCCTCTGCTTAGAGCCACGTGCATCTGTTGAGCAGCACAAACGACTTCTGAAGGGAGGCGACTGAGGATTTTAGATAATAAAGTTAGCTTTGAAAATCCTTCAGTCCAATATGTCTGTATGAACATCGACTGGAGAAAAGTCTATGCAGAAGTAGAGAGAACAAAATCAAGGAATTGTGTTTTGCAAGCTGGAAGAAAAGGTTGCTAAATGACCCGTCGATGCACTCTGCCGTGGCTCTGGCTGGAGCGAAGCCCCCATTAACATCCATTCAGTGTGCTGTTCAGTAGTCACAGAGCATCTTAAACACGGTGCCGCCGCCATTTATCCGTAAGATTTTTAACAAACCTTGAATTTATCTGCATGTAACAACAGACTGAAACCACCTTCCATTTGTTAACACTTCCCTATAAATGAAGAATGACTAATTTACTCACAAAACCATCCAACTGTGTGTTGGAGCAGGACCAAGACCACTTGTGTTACACTGGAATGACCATAGTTAAACTGAAAGTGCTGGTCTAACGTGGCAGGACGTGTTTGTCGTGAACACTTTGCTTTGCAGCGTTATGCATTTTGTCCTTTTGTTTGTTTTCTGTGTGTATTCACAGCACGAACTCTGGAAACACGAGTGACCTGTTCCTCATGTCACCGCGCACCCTGGACTCGCTCGACTCCCTGATGCCCAGTGAAGCTGAAGCCAACCAAGGACATCTGGGTGAGTCACTAACTGGGAACACGCAAGCTTATTTTTACTCCTGAAGCCGTCTTTGGTCTTACCACAACTAAAAGCCTCACCTAAAGTAAAAAAAAAGCATCTTTGAATTAGGGCTGTGCGATATTAGAATTATGTGTGATAAGTCATTAATACTGCGATGACGATACGGCTTTCAATAAATAAATATTTAATTTAAGAACAAAAAATAAAAAACAAATTAAAAATTGTAAGAAAATTTCATTCAAAAAAAGCAAAAATTGTGATCAAAAGATGTGAGGAAAGGGAAAAAGAGCAAGAAAAGGTACTCCTGGGAAAGGCAGAAAGAGCAGAACAAAGCTAACTCAGGTGTTTTAATTAAATGCTGTCCACCTAGGGGCGGGCATCTAACCTAAAGAACACACCCGATTGGCCAAATGGGTGAAGAGCTTTATTTGATTTGCCAAAATCTTCATGCTTCCGTTTGACAAAACGCATCATGTGTAGCTAACATTTGAGCTGACCATTCATTGCGTTCTTTCCAGTTCTTTGCGACATGCCGATATCACGATGACGATACATTTGTGCATCCTACTATAGCCTCTTTTATAAGACAGACCATCGCGTCGTTACAGAGTGATAAATCCGAATTTGTGGGTCTCGTGAATGCGGCAAGGAGCAAAGGGGAAAGGTGATAAAGCTCGATTCTGATGCGCTTTGCCTCGTAGTAATATTGCCGCACAAGCCCCTCGTCTCTGATGGCTAAACACGTGTCAGCCCCGTTAATCCCTTTGGAGCGACTGAGGGAGCGCCCCAACCACCACCACCACCCTGCCGCAAAAGACGGGGGGGGGGGAATAAAGGGAGGCAGCGACCTCCCTTTCCGTCTTGGCTGGAGAGGTGCCTGATGGCAGTTTATTCTAGCTTCAGCTTTGCTGCTATACATGCCAAAATCCTCCCCAGGGAGCCGCGGCGAGTCCCGTTTTGCAAACGCTATGGTCCTGTAAACAGCTTTTGAATTTTAACTCTATATGCCTCAATAATAATTTCCTTGTTTTTATCCTAGATTCCCTCACTTTGAACATGGATGTAGCCTCTCCAATGTGAAGACAAAACTTCCACCATTTCTGTCCACTTGTTGGGATCTGAGCGGCTCGTTTATTCCTGTCTTCACACGGTCTCTGTACAGTTTCTTTTGTTTCTGTGTAAATTTACCAAACAACAAACAGCAGTTGTCTCTAGAGTTTGACTCACTTTGTGCCCTAACTATCTTTCTTCCTTTTCTTTTTAACAACTCTTATCATATATGCAATAAAGTTTTATTTTTTTGAGAATAAACTGTGTGTGTAATTGACAATAAATGGTTATGTGATTTTATTATTATTATTATTATTTTTTTTTAAAAGTAAATGGTGTTTTTTGTATAAGCTATGTGCTGCTTGAGAGAGGCTGATTTCTGTTTTACAGAACGTCCCTGCCAAATGAATAACATCACAGTAGGAAAACTCTGTTGGTTGAATTTAAACATGTTTCTGGTTTTAGTTTACACAGAATGGGTTTTTAAACTTTATCCAGTAAAAGGAGATGGGAGTAGAAGTATTTCTGGTAATTGGGTCATTTTTTCCCCCCGTCAGCTCTCTTTCTTCCTGTTTTACGCCTTTGTTACTGTAAATGTGTGGTTTTTCACTTGTAAATTGCAACAAGGTCATGTGAGTGAGACTGGCTTTTGAAACAGACCTTTTGATGTTTGTTTTGCCTGTTTTTAACTCGTATGATCAGATATAAAAATGTCAAATATCAAATTATTTATGGTTTGTCGGACTTCCTTTTTCCACCTTCGGAATGTTGCTAAGATTAGAAGCATCCTTTCCAGGAGTGATGCTGAAAAACTAGTTCATGCATTTATTACATCAAGACTGGATTACTGTAATTCATTACTCTCAGGAAGTCCACAGAATGTAGTTAAAAGTCTTCAGCTTGTCCAAAATGCTGCAGCTAGAGTTCTGATGAGAATTAAAAAGAGAGATCATATCTCTCCTGTCTTAGCTTCCCTACATTGGCTGCCTGTTAAATTCAGAATAGATTTTAAGATCCTCCTTCTCACATATAAAGCTCTTAATAATCAAGCTCGATCATACATCAGTGACCTGATTGTTCCATACGTTCCTAACCGAGCACTTCGCTCTCAGACTGCAGGTTTACTGGTGGTTCCCAGAATATCTAAAATTAGGATGGGAGGCAGATCTTTTAGTTATCAGGCTCCTCTCCTGTGGAACCAACTCCCAGCTTTAGTCCGCAATATTTATAGTCTGTAATATTTTTCTTTACATTTCATACTTAAGTGAACCATGTCAGTGAAATAAAATGCCATGAAAATGTTTTTTGTGTCTCAATGACAGCTTTTTTATTCTCTTTTAAAAGCCTTTGGTGATTGTGGATGGGGACTAGGAAAGAGCTGAACAAAACATGAGGGAAGCTATATTTAGACTTAAATGAAAACAAGGACAACTTACGGTTGGCATAACATCCCATTGACAAGCTGAGGACGAGTAGCAACAATAAAACACCCCTTAACAGGAAATTCATGGGTGACGCAATTGTTTAGAAGGAAACCAGCAACAACACAGAAACTCTAGGCTTAAGAGAAACTATACTAAATAAAACAGGTAAATTCTGGACGTTTTGCCAAGGTAAAATGGAGAAATCTACTGTGCAATCGCCAGAAGTGCGTTTCCAAAGTTGGACATGATTTCTAGAGTTGATTAAATCAGGTCCGGTAGAAAAATCAGGTTATTCTTGCGCTAAAGTGGTATTAAATAGTTACAAAGAAACACCCTTTTGTACTATCAAAAATATAATATAATGTATCCATAGCTGGGCTGGTTTCAGGTGGGATTGTGCCATGGTTTCTAAATTGAGCAGAACAGTTAAGAGATTGGAGAGCTCATGAAATCCTTGCTGAACTTCCCTGACTGGAAACTCGAGTTTGTTCTTATCTTCAACATAATGATGCCGTGCGACTGCTGCGATCCCCAAGAGTCCAGTTTATAATACAAGACCAGTGAGGCAAATCGGCTAAACAAACAGGAAGAAGGCCGTTTCTGCATCACTGCTCTGTAGCACCAGCTCACGCTGGCTTGTTTATACCTGCCTGCTTTTGAGTGTATGGGACATAAAAATAGGCCTGTTCGAGAAGACCAAGAGGGGATGTTGAGATGCAGCTATTACCGTCAGTGGCTGCTGACTCAGCTGTTTGAGGAAGTAACTGTCACCTTTCAGTTTTGGTCTGCAGCCAATCACACTCCAGCATCAGGCTCCATCTCTGTTGTGGCTTTGTTTAATTGAGAGTGACAGCTACCATAATTTATGACAGTTTTGTTTTAAAAACATGATTCTAAGAATATGATGTCATCAAGTTCAGCCACGAGATGAGGGTTTTTCTTTTCAATCTAGTTACAGTAAACAATGGCTAAAACAAACCCTGGAATTTTTTTTAACGCAGCTGAGAAACTTCACATATAAAGCATTTGGTTTCAGCACATGATCAATTTTTAAATAAAACATGACTATAGGCAATTTTCCTGGTGGATGACAAGAAAAGGGAAGGTATCATTTGACAAACTGAGATGTAAAAAAATCACCAAGAATCTTTGTGTACTCTGATTTATATCCTTTAACTAACCGTTTAATTTAATATTTTAATAACACTGATTTGGACTTTTTAAGTGAATACAATATAAGTTGTTATTTTAGTAATTTCTGTGCCCATTTGTCAATAAAAACGTACTTTCTCTGTGCATTTATTGCCTTGTAGTACATTTTGAAAAGGGTTCATTTGTTTTTGTTTCTGCCAATTTATTTATCTTTGGATTATGACTAAAACAAATAATACAAGAATACACTGCTGCACACTATTTATAATTACTAACGGAATAAAACAACTAAATAAAAGACAATATCTTGTTTGTCTACATATATAAATTTCATGAATATTTTTTTTATTTTGCTAATATTTTGGTATAAAGGGTTATTCACTTACGACCAGAGGGTGGCGCTGTTCATTGCGTGGATGGCGACGCATTTATGTAGTTGATTTGCCCATCTTCACTAGAAAAAGTTACTGAAATTATTAGTCCTATTATTTATTTATTTATTCGTCATTATTATTATTATAGCTGTGGGCGCTTGACGTGTGGATTATTTTTCTTGTTTTAACAATTTTCCATCCGAGTATTTTATTTACTCCCTTTACAGATAAAGACGTGCCTCTTGACTGTCTATAAAAAGGACAACACACATATATTTTTGTTTAGTTCAAGAGTTAATAAATAAAATAAAAGTGCCGCCTCTTGGCGCTGAAGATCATCACCAGAGGGACAGATCCGTGGAAACCGTCAGACGTAGAAGAGCCGCCGGAAGTGGGCGGGGTGTGTCTGAGAGAGAGAGAGAGAGAGAGAGAGAGAGAGAGAGAGACTGTAGCAGCGAAGTGTTGGAAGAAACTGACTGACGGACAAATTCCTGTTGGAGGTTACTCACGTCGCTGGAGACACTTCTCTCGGTTTATGAGAAAGGACAACAACTTTGGTCGCTCCACAGAGGTGAGTGTCGCCGCTGAAAGTGTCTGAATGCGTTTTAAAACCAGACAGAAGGTGGACGTCCTCGCCTCGTCCCCCCTTTTTTTAACGCGCTCTCTCCATTGCGAAATAATATTCTGACAGGGAGCTTTGTAAACAAACTGCGAGTGCGGCAACGCGCTTGAATCCGAGGACGTCGCGAGAGCGTGTCTCGGCCAGCGCGTGAGGGATAACGGCTGTTTTTCCTCCAAGTCTGACTTTTCCTCCTCAGCTGTTGAATCAACAGGCAGGTTCTCCACACAGGCGAATCCCAGTAACGTGTCCTAGCTATACTCTCGCGCACTCAGAGCTCGAGCTGACATTTCCACTTATCAGATTTGTATTCCTATAAATCTCCCACGTGCCTGTAAACTCTGGGACACCAGATAGCATCTGATCATTTTCCTCTAAAAGTTTTCATAGAGCCGCCCTCCAGCCTCCTCCAGCACACCACACATCAGATACAAACATGGAGATAACCTGTTGTGCAGCGGTTTGATATGATCAAAGGCATCAAAGCCGTTTTTGCGTCAAGGACATGATTCAAAAGTGACTTCTATTATTAGTTTTTTAAAATAGTTCCACCGTTGCGTGCAAGCACTTTGTGCCACATTTATTTTCAAATTGGAAGCAAATGATATCATTTAAAACTCTTGTATGACACTTTAAGACCAGCTAAACGAGCTAGAATGTCCTAAACTGTTTACATGACAACATATCAACAATTGGACTGGTTTCTGATCAGGGCACTTTCACTTTTCACACTCTCACCACCTGGAGTGTTTCTGTTTTGATAAAGTCAAAGAGGTGATTTGCACATGTGAAATATTCCAAATAAATCAATAAAACTAGTCAGCAATTCAATTCACTTTTAAGCAGGTCAGCACAGTTCATTTAGTAAATAAACACATCCGCAGCACACGCCATTGCTCGAGTGTTTGCAGCAGTGTGGTCTGAAGAAGCTGATAATGATGGTTCATAAAAAGTAGAAACAAAGCAGCCTGTCAGAGCCTGAAGGCACAGCGAGTGGATGAGGACCTTGATGTTAGTACTCACAGAATTTTAAATGTCACAGTTAATTTGATGTGTCAGTTTGTGTGTGTGTGTGTGTGTGTGTGTGTGTACTCTGCCTTCAGTGATCACACCTTCCTGATACCTTTTCCTCAAAATTTCTTTACTCATTAATTTCTACACGTTGTTTTCCTGAATGCAAGCAGTTTGTCTCATGTATCCCTGTGGTTTGAAATAATTGAAAATGTTGTGATAATTCCTGCAGCTGGCACTGGGAAAGCTCCTCCCCCTCCTATCTGGGTCCAGGTTGGGGCTTTGGAGAGGCTGCGGGTTGACTTTTGATGAAGAAAAATGAAAACATGTGGGCTCATCTGATTTTGAACAGAGACATTTCAAAGTATCCTCTCAGGGTCTTTCAGACGGAATTATCTTTTATTGGTGTTAAACTTTATTTGTTTTTAGACTGAACTTAAATCTGTCTGTTAAATCTGTTTTTTCCTCCCCTTTATGTCTGTGTCCACGTCTTCCAAGCTGTGGAACATTTCAGTCTTAACTCTAGGAAAAGGTGTTCTGTGCTTTCTGCAGCTTTTAACCCTGCTGTCAGGCATCATGCTACCCTGTTTGCTCCCTCTCTAAATGCAAGTGCAAAAGGATGGAGGCTTTTCATTGGTTTCTGTAGAAAAACTGTGTTTGGGGTTGGAGAGGAACTTGCTGGTTGAGTTCACGGGTGCATTTATGTCTGACATAAAGACTCGGATGGAGCACTTGAATCAGATTGGGGAATCTAGGATTTTATACTAAAGACTCCTTTTTATGCTCACAGCATGTCACGGTCTTTAGCTTGTGCAGTTTGCACTTTTTTATTCCCTGCTGCCAGTTGAATGAAGGCAGAAAAGGCTGGGCACTTTTGTGCACAAGAGTCCTTTTTAAATCATTTGTTTAGTGTGCATTTTATTTTGCATCTTTTTTTATTTCTTTCATGTTTTTCATTAACAAAGATCCAATCGTTTTTCTTAACTAATTGATTTCATAAAGCATCATGTAAAAGGCTTTAAACGTAACTTTTCATCACCTGAAGATCACAATTAGCTAGAAGTTAGCAGATTAGAGCAGCAGTTTTGATCTTACTGAGCTGAGTCAAAGGTGAAGTGTGACAATCGGGTATGCACTAATATCCGTGCTTAGTGCGGGGCTTATTGTCTCTCAGAACTCCTCAGAAGATGATGCACCCTGGAATTTGCTCCATTGTTTGTGATCCAGAAACTATTTAGTGCAAATAATCAAAGTCATGTGAAAAACTGGACCTAATCTCTTGAGGTCCAAACAATAATCAGATCGTTACAGAGGGGAATAGAAAGGGAAAGATATGCATAGGGGAAGTGTTCAGGAAGCATGTGTTGTAATGCACGCTAACCTCCTCCCCCTTTTCAGTTGGGCTAACACTAATCCACTGGTCACGTGACCTCCAGCTTTTAGTCTGGTCTAGGTCAGGAGTGCTCTGATCCATCTGTCAAATAAGGTTACTGATTGTTGGCATCCACAGTGTGAACTGCTGTCTCATGACCCCTGCCTACTCTGCAAAAAATAAAGTAAAATGCCTGTCTTCCATTACCTAAACGCTTCTCCAGGATCTCACTAGCTGTTTCCTCAAGCTGTCTCCATGATGCAAGCTTTAGCTCATATATTTTTTTAATCACTACCTAACTTTTAGTGAATTCCCTCCCGCTCAGTGGCTGCAGGTGGGAGGGGTATGACCGTCAACCCCTCCAGACTCTGAGAAGCATGATAAAGGCTTTTGGTTACTATCTCAGCTACACAAGAATAGCACATATGTTCAGAGACATGAGTTCTCAGCCAAATGAAGGAAGTGAAAATTTAGAAAAAGCTTTAGTTTAATTTACTCTTTGCTTTGTTCTTGTGCTTTTTCATTTTGTAGGACATTGTGGGCAAAGGTCTGCTCATAATAGACTAGACAAACATGGTCTGGACTAATCATTTTTCATGTTTACACAACACTCCTCTGCAAGCCTAAACACATAGGAACCAAACGCAGTTGCACATTTCCACAGCTTTGCACCAAGCATGGCTCACTTTGAGTGATATTCTCCCTTCCCTATCTAGAGTTTATTTTAAAGGGACTTTTGCAACATAAACATACAAGTTTTGACCAAAATGTTGCAATTTGTCCATCCATTTGCTTCCACTTACCCGGGGTCGGGTCAGCACCAGCCTAAGCACGGAGGCCCAGACTTCCCTATCTCTAGCCAGTTGGGCCAGCTCCTCCAGGAGAATCTTAAGGCATTCCCGGGCCAGCTGAGAAAATGACAGTATATTGGGTTGAAATACATAAATAAAATGATCTTATTTAAGCCAATGTTTTTCTTAAAGTGCAAGTTCGCTGAGAAACCGTTTATTACTTATTTTTGAAATAAAATTGTTCACTCTGAGTTTCACAGGCAGACTGAACATAATCTTCTACCCATTTTTTCTGCATTACCTGCAGATAAAAAAGAAAAGTTGACAAACTGGTCAGATAAGAAAAAGACACACAGATCTATGCCACACTGTAACTGCATTCATGGACTCGCCCATCTTAGCTTGCAACTGGGGAAGGCTGTTGTTGATGTAACATCCCGGAAAGAGCAGAGCGCGTCTTGGCCATAGACATGAATACGTAGACGCGCCATTTAGGGCTGGAGAGCACAACAGCATCGCCACCATATTGGTTGGGTTCCTCACTCTAAACTCAACTGGAGCTAATGAAGGGTTGAAAACTATGCCTGTTTTTTGTACAGCCTACAGCTGCAACTGCTGGCACACAACTGAAAACAGATCACGTGCGATTACTATTGACTTTTCTAGCCTACCTGGTGGGATTTTTAGATTTATTTTAAGTTATTTTATTTTGTTATATTTATATTTTAACTATCATGCCATACCATATGTCAGATTTAGTGAAAAATCATGAAATGGGAACCTATCTAAGAAGGTAGCTCGCCACTATGCAAACTCCAATAGGCAGACCCAGTCCACGTAGCGTGCAACCACCTTTCCTCTGTAAATCCTGGAGGAGCAGTGGCTCTACTGTGAACCCCTCCCAAGGTTTATGAGCTTTTCACCTCTAAGCAGCCAATCCTTGGCCAGCTCCAGCTTGGTTTTCTTATTGACCTTTTTCACCTACGTCACTTATTCACGTGGGTCCACCTTATTGGTTAGGAAAAGCATGTAAACAGGGAAAAATTGTGCCTGAGATTGTTTTAGTTGTTGTCATTGGTTTTTGCAATGTGTAGCATGGCTTCAACTAGTTCAACCCAAGTTCAGTTATTGGAAGAAGTAGCACACCTAGGTGGGGCAACAGTGAATTATGGGAGTATTGAACGGAGAGAAAAAGTGGCGAATGAAGTTGTTGGTTTTTTGCCCGTTTAGCCTGGTTTCTATTGGTTCAAGCCCAGTTCACTTGTGAGAAGATTTAGCACACCTAGGTGGAGCTCATGAGCGTTAGCTAGCTTACGAACGTAAGCTTACATTCTCCCTGCGGCTGTTCATTGTTTAAACATGTTGCGACTTTGCCAGAATTCACCCTTACAAATGCAGAATGTTCGTTACATAGCATTGACAGTCTGGACATTAAAAAAAAAAAACAGCCAATGACCCTTTTATTTAAAGCTGCTTTTACTTAAATCTTTTATTTTTAACTCAAATTTTTAATCTTTTTATGAAATTTTATAATTTGATGCTGTTTTGAGAGCATTTAGATTTTATGATGTTAATCTGTTTCTGCTTTGAGATCATTATGATTTGATGACTTTGTTTTTGATCTATGTGAAGCACTTTGTGATTCTATGTGATAAGTGGTATATTTACTTACTTACCCCGCTGTATTTATAACATAATGTGATAAGCAACGCTTCACTTTATATTGGAGCTGATTAGAAATAGTTTGGATCCCTCCCTACTAGTTTTTGTCACTGGTG